GACCTCAGGAGAGCTGAGGAGAACCGATTGAAGAAGAGGAAGGATCGCATGGCACAAAACGGCGACGACGGCGACGTCACATACATCAACGAGAAGAACAAGCAGTTCAACCAGAAGCTGGCACGCTTCTACAACAAGTACACTGCGGAGATCAGGGACAGTTTCGAGAGAGGAACCATGATTTAAGAGCCGGATGTTGAATTAATGGGAGTAAAGGCGCGGGGGGAGCCTTACGGCTTGTTTGGGGAATGATACAGTCTATGACAACTTTCAGAATACATTACATGCCCTAAAGCATGGTTTTTCTCCATCCCTTGTTCGCCAGCTCCTCGAGCTCAGGCACTTCGATAGGCCCCTGAACCTTGGTGTCATCAAGTGCCTCTACAACTGCCTCTGCCACGGACTCAACAGGCAAAGGCTTCACACCGCTTGCACCCATGAAGCTACCCAACACGCCTCCAGTCAACTTATTGAATAGAGCACCGGCACCCGTCATGGCAGCTAGAGGCAGTGTGAACTTCCTCGAGCTGTCGTACATGAAGGGCGGCCTCGGGAAGATGCCACGCATGCGCGGGAATTCGCTGGCAATCGTGCTTTCTGCCTCGCGCTTGGTGGTGATGTACCTCGCCGGCAGTACAGGCGCGCCTCCAGCGGCAGAGATGTAGACGAACGCTTTGACGTTCTCGGCGTTTGACTGCTTGGCCAGGGCAATAGCGCTATCGCGGTTCATGACCTCGTAAGTAAATTGGTCCTTGGGGTTTGTGGGTTTGAGGTCAGCGCCCTCGGGGCCCTTGAGGGGGTCGACGCCGCGGTCCTTGACGGGCGCAAAGGCCTTTTGGAGACCGGAGATGGGTGACTCCTGCCCTGAGACGACTCCTTTGTAGTCGGCCTCGAGGAGAATGCCCATGCTGTGGACGACGAAGTCGGCGCCCTTGAGGAGCGGTGCATATGTCGCGGGGCGGAGCATGTCGGCACGCTCCCACGAGACCTTGTGTGCCCATTGAGGAGGGGCTGGTGATGAGGTCACTGCCTGCCACTTGGGCTCACCTGAGCGGCTGCGGAACGATGTTAGAGAAGATGATAAGCTGGATGAAGCCCTATGGGAGGATATACCTGATTGATGTGACATCCCAGCCTCTCGCAACGGCGTACTTGCAGATCCTTGACCCGAGAAAGCCGTTTCCTCCGCAGACCACGAGCTTCTTGGTGACGGCTGATGTGGACATGGTCGCAGTGTGAGAAGGTATGAGCGGTACCAATTGAGGGGAAACTGGAAGATTTCACGAGCGAACAGAGCTGGATGAAAGCCAATTGCTGTTGAATGAGATTGAACCCCGAATTCGGCGTTAGTGTACCGACAATCGCATGCCAGTTTCTTCCGAGAGTGGTTCGATGCCGTTCCGGACGCGGTGCAAAGTCATGAAATCATCACCCGCCCTGAAGCTCCCCCAGCTCCCCATTGAAATCTTCCAGGGTCTTGACGCAGGCATGCGCTTACAGGGGTGCGCAGCTATATTGGAGCTTGTCATTGGCCAGACCCGATTCGCGTTGGCTGCGTCGTCCACTGTGCCTGAGCTTGGAACATTCCATGGGACGGACGTACCAAAGTAGAAGAAATGCACCAGACACATCAGACCAATGAGTGTATACCAAGAAATCTAAGTATCCCGAAAGAAAGATCTCAATACTTCGCAGACGTTTTTTTTGCTTGAACTACCATCACTTTGTAGAAAGTCATTGACCGATTCTCGATTCCAGTGGAGACTCGTCTATGACCTCATGACGAGCGCTGGATGCCAAGCTGAGTGTTAAAATTGAGTACCTCTCCGAAAAGCACTTAAATTCTGTCATCCAGACGTTCATTCATTTCAATCCGATTCACTTTGTGTGTTTTGCGTTACAGGATATTTTGTGGATTAGTTCCCTGTGAGTGCATTTCCAGACATAATTCACACGCCTTCAGAAGGTCGCAGACAATCAAACAGAAAATGTAGTAAAAAGCAGGCGGACTCATGAAAACGGCCAAAACTTCGGTTCGATCGAACCTGCGAACGCCATTGCCTTTTATACAATATCCTTGTTTCCTGCCTTGCCGCTGGATTAAAGACGGCGTCGGGTGAGAGTTTCCTAGACTCGGCAACAATTTCGATGGGGGCGGAGCGAGGGGCGGTTCCACGGGTGCCTCCAATTCTTGGCCCACTTTAAAGTTGCGCACCTGTAAGGCTACCTACCCTTCGCCTTTCTTCGCCTTGGCTCCTTGCGACAACTCATTTCCACTACATCTTCAATCCCCAACGTTGATGACGACGATTGCGATTTTCTCTAATACTTTACCGTCACAGAATACATATCAATCCATCAGAGTATTCCGCAAAAACCACAAATATGGCGCCGCCCAGCAGCCTCGGTAAGCGCGTCAAGGGCACCCAGATCAAGCGTTCCTTCATCTACGGAACCACTGCCCGGCCCTTCGATCCCGAGCGCAACCCGAAGCCAGAGGGCGTCCCTGACGACCACACCCACTCGTGGGAGGTCTTTGTCAAGGGAATTGACGACACAGACATTACCTACTGGCTTCGAAGAGTGCAGTTCAAGCTACATGAGTCCATCCCCAACCACGTGCGGAGTGCGTTCCCCCCTTCGCCTTTCCTACTTGGCTGTGAACCTTGCTAACCCCAACGAAGTGATCGACGGCGAACCCGGAAAACCCTTCATCATCCACGAGACCGGATGGGGAGAATTCGAGATCACAATTAAGATGTACTACGTGACCGAGTCCGGCGAGAAGCCCCAAACTCTATACCACAATCTCCGCTTGCACCCTTTCGGTAGGACCGATGCCGAGAAGGAACAAATGGCCCGCCAGAACAATGGTGAGATTACCGCCTGGAACTACGAAGAGCAGCTCTTCAATGAGCCTTACGAAGCCTTCTACGAGATCCTCACCTCTGGAGCTACTCCAAAGGGCCATCCTGTTGGGAAGGGCGGCAAGGGGAAGAACAAGCCGATTCCTCCTCTGCCTGAGAAGACGTCTAACGTACAAGTTTCCTGGGAGCGGAGTTCCCTTCTGCCCGCCGTAAATAAGCCAGGACAGCCCTTCAGTCTCGAGACGGAGCAGATCGAGGTTAAGAAACTCGCAGAGGCCAAGGCCAAGGTCCAGAAGATGGCCGAGAAACAGCTCGAGATTCTTAAGGAGAGGGAAGCATTACTTGCCAAGCTCAAAGCCGAGAACGCTGCTGCTGCGAGCAGCTAGAAGCCGCCCAGCACAAAAACCAAGGGGCTCGTTAGGAAACGACGCAAGACTGAGGAAGCCCAAAGAAAGGAAGACGATAAAAAGGTACAGGATGCGAAGAAAAATCTGCGAAAGATCCTCGACTCCTAGATTGAAGCCGTCGCGGCCGCAGTGGATAGCAATACCTCACGCCCACAGTTCAATTACTCTGTGGCACTCGCGTCCTGCAGCGACAGCGAGGCTGACCCATGCGATTCAAGCCTCCTTGACGTGGCCCAGAACTTTGTACTCGGCAAGATTCATGACTACGCGGCAACCCATTGGCCTCATGGGTTGCAGAGGCATTTATATCTTGAAGCATTATTGGACGAGCACCTGCAAGGATGCGACCGTTTCTGGAAGGAAAGACTTGACAGTAAAATACGGCGGATGCTGGACCGTGCAGTTCACGAGCGGAATCGTGAAGCCTGGCGTCGTCAGCACGAGGAGCAGGGCGACCACCATCTGTCACGGGGTGAAACCTCCGAGCAGCAGCCTATCGCTCCAGCAGAAATGTCACAGTCTCTTGCACCTGAGACCGTAAAATATTTACGGACGGTGTCATCTCAAGCTCTGTCATACATGACAAGTTGCAGCAGCCAGCATGACAACAGAAGTCAGACTCGACTCTTGACAGCACAGGATGTGCCTGGGCCTTCTGCAACGCGTCATTTTCCTTACCCAGCGCACTCGAACATCGAACGACGTCGTCCCGAGGTTCGTACATCGCCGTTGAAGCGATGCATCTCAATGGAAGACGTCAAGTCGCCGAACAAAAAGGCAAAGAGCGAGTAGTCGTTACGGGTGAGCAGATAAATAGGCTCAGTTTAGCTTGTCGATGTTTCATGGTGTGGCGAATAAAGGTGTATAGATAGCATGCTTCACAGACGCAATTGAGAAAACAGTACTATGCATAGAAGATGGGAGTTTGATTCTTCCGACATGTCTAACTGACATGCCTTTTGCCATGGGTCTCTCTCTGTCGAGCCAGGCTTTCGCGCAAAAAAAAGATACTCAATGTCTGTCCACAGATTCCGTCTGACCCCCTTTTCCCCGCTCTTTCGAATGATATCAATGTGATTTGCTCTCCTTGTCTGCAGCAGCGGCTCCTTCCTGCTATTGTTCGACCTCCTCTCTCTGTCTATCCGTCCTCCGAGGACGTGATTCTGCATATAATTCCATACAAAAGAAAAGGGTGTAAAGTTTGGTGTGTATGCGTACGCGCCTTTTCGAGGACGTCGCTGAAAAAGGGCTGATGATGCCGTGATAAGGTAGTAGCAGCAGCCGTAAAGTTTGGTGTCTCTAGAAGACTGCCGTTCGTCATGTCATCAATTCAGTCGTGGTTGGTGGCCCCCGAATCCCAACCCAAAGAATCCAAAAAACGCAAAACAAATTCGACGATGAGGGGGGGAGCCATGGTTTCTCCAATCTCTTTGTTTTCCCCGTCGTCGACAAAACAAACATTCTTTTTTTTATGATCCCCTCCCTTCTCCTGTCGAACGCCATGCGGATATACACATTAACACTAAAGCAATCAAATGGTTTGGCAGAGCCTTTTGTGTTGTCTCCGCTTGAAAAAATGGAAAAAAGAGAGAAGCTCCCCAAACGCCTTGCGAGGAGAAGTCGATGGGACAGACGGTAAGGAAAATGCTAAATCCAGCAGAGTGGATAGGTGGTGATCTTTGTACGGTCGTACGTTATGTTCACCTGCTATGCGCAGGTCTGTTGTTTAGGTTGAGGCTTCGTAGGCCGGAGGAGGAACATCCTCCCTCTCGTCCCACATGCCTTGTTGCTGACGGTTCTTCTCGTCATAGACACGGCGAGCAATCTCTCCAGCCATCTTCATGATCCAGGCCTGCTCGTAAACAGTCGAGTTCTCGCCAGCAGCGCCCTTCTCATTGGGATAAGTCCGAGCCTTGTCGGCTGGCTGTTGGGCCGTCGGAGTAGTCTCCACATTGAGGGCGCTATCGAGTTTGATAGGCGCACTGGGAGCCTCGGTGGGCGGAGCGTAGAAGTTGGGCTGCAAAGGAGGCCGGGAGTGGAGTTGGGGTCTCTCGACGGGGCTGAAGCGGACCTTGCTCGGCGTGGAATTGGCCAGATCTGCCAGGGCCTCCTCCTGTTCAGGATCCTCCGCAATGGAGCAGGAAGTGAGGGGTTCGGTCGAAGGACCTGCCACGGAAGCAGAATCAGACGCTATATCCGAGTAAGTGTCGCTTGCCTCTGGTGTGGACACCTCGCTGTGGGTGCGACGGAGGTTGACGACTCTGTTCTTCTTCTTCCGGCCTGAATACGATTTCGATCTAATGCCAGCTCCCAAAGACAATCCGGTGGTCGCCGAGTTAAGGCTGACCATGGATGGCCGGGATGGCAGGTGACCGTGGGCTGCGCTACCTGTGTCAGAGAATGTGTACGTGGTCGACGTCCCAGCGAACGAGTTCGTCTTGGACAAGCTAGGGGTCGCGGTTGGTGGGGTACTGTTTGGTTCAGACGCTGCAGGTCTGGTCCAAGCCCTGAAAACCACATCGCGGATACCCGGCGTAAAGAGGGAGCAGGTGCGATGAGAGTCGTTCAATGCAGCTAGTCTCAGCAGGTTCTTCTGCGAGAATAGTGATTGGACCTCTGGGCCGCCCTCTAACGATAGTGACGACACGTCGTTCGCATCGAGCAGGTTGCCATTCGCATCCACGGGGTCTAATGGGGGGCTAGCCAAGGGGTCCACTACGGTCTCATCAGTGTTCTCCTTGGACGCATCCTCGTCCTTTGGCACTGCATCGGGGCACCACAGGCGGAGAGACAGGCGGTGAATGATGGCGGGGAGCTCGTCCATCATCAGATTCCTCAATTGGGCCTCGATAGTCCGCTGCAGATAATCGCGCACGAACTGGATCGAATCAAAGGTCGAGGAGACCTTAAGCGATTCTAGCGGGTCATTCCGGAAAACCAGGGTGAGCCCCTTCGTCCTGGAAAACACCAAGATGATGAAAGCCGAGAGCTTGATCTCGGACAAGGTGATTGACAGCGGGATTGTCAACCCCGATGCCGCCGCCAATGGCTGGGGCGATGTGAAGCTTGGCTTAGAAGATAGGTAGGTATTCAGTGGATTTGCCTGTTTGTTGATATATTAGCCACTGCTATGACGCACGTTCCAATTTGGTAGGTCCGTAGAGAGGTTTAGGACGCGCATCCCAGCAAAGCAATTTCAGCATCAATGCAAGGACGCGGGTAGGGACGAAATGTTTGATGAGTAAAAAACAAACACCGGGATGTCTGGGGTAAGTGCCGAGGGGTAGGCGAGAGAAAAGTTGCGCAGTGTAGTAACCGAGCTCATTGACGATGTTTTTGGGAGCAGCGTCATCGAGTCTCGGCTATGCGGTCGTTGGCGGGGCTCGCGCTCATTCCAAGCACTGGCATGGGAATGGCATCGCGATTGAAAATGCTTGATGCAACGAACTCGCGCTGGAACGGGGATGCGTCGGGGTTGGATTTGTGCGTGTTTGTCGGGGTGCGGCATTGGTGAAGTCATTGCCGCAGCCGCGGCACCGAGCTTCGTCTCCAAAGCTGCGGGTGCAGGGAAGGCGGGAGAAAAAAAGCCTCCAGGGAAAAAAAAAATCGGCATACCTGAACCCGGGTCTTCAACGTCAGGAAGGCGTCGCCAGAATAGCACATTTTGAATATTCCTCGGAATCTATCCTCCGCAATGTCGCCAATCTCAAGAATCTCCAGCTCGGGGGGCACGGAGCCCAAGTTGAACTCGGTCACGAGGATGTCATCGACGATAATCGGCGGCTTCGGCGACTTGTTCAGGGCGGTTGTGAGCATCTCGCGGGCGCGCTGATAGAACTCGGCGTCGGCCGTCAGCGGCGACCAGTTGAAGTTGAAGGCCATGTTGAAATGGCGTTAACTGCGGCCAACCATCGAAGGGTGATTTGGTGTAGGCCGTTCGGCCGGGTAAAAGTAGGACGTAGTCGATCGGAGGGGGCTATGAAATCGGCATTCGACGGAAAGAGCTCTTGAGCTTTGTTCGCAACGGTTTGTCGGAAGGAATAAAGGACGGACTCGTTGAGGAGCAGAGCAATTAGAAGGCGAGAGTCCGGGGAAGAGCAGCGGGATAATATGGGGTGAGTGGGAGGAGAAGGAGGGTTGGTTTGGCGAGGAGGCAGGTCTTGGATGTAGATCGGGGCGAGCTCTGTGTGGTGGTGGTGGTGCGGTGCGTGTGTGCGTTTTCCTCCGAATGACGCTGGTCGGGTGCGCTACGAATACACTATTGTATTCGGGAGCGCCTCCCAAGGTCAAGGGAATACTCGGAGGTAAGTGGTGCGGTGCGGGCTTAGCGTGAATTTTTTTTTCCCTCCCGCAAAATTTCTGATACTTGGGAAACCGGGTGCTGTGACTGGTCGACTCCTGCAGGTGTCGCGTGCAGGGAGGTCGACTGGGGTGGGGCGACAGAGGCGGTGGGCACCGTCGGCGCCCTGTGTGAGTGGTCGGCGCAACGGCTGCAGCGTGATGGGCGCCCCCAAGCCACGGTTGAGACAGGAGGAAGCCCTCCCAGTTGGTCTTCCAAGTTCCATCGGGGGAGGGGGGATTCACAGCACCGTGTTTGGAGGGGTGTGCTCCACTTAATTACAGTGGTTGCAACCTGCTTGTCTGGCAGCCCGGACGGCGCGTAGCACTGAGGGCAGGCAGTGTTTACAGGCCCGTCCCTAGGTGCGTTTTTGCTTGTGAGAAGGGCGGTATGAGTAAGGTAGGGGCAAATTGGCCATCATGCAAGTCACCCGAGGTTGGATTCCAAGACAACGGGCCAGACTAACATCTGCCATCTGCCATCTGGCGCACACCCAAGAGGCATATCGCGGCCGGCAGCATTGCGACGGAGAAAGAACTAACAGAAGAGATCATGACGGTGGCCGATTTAGAGTTGGGCCTCGTTTCGCCAAGCGCGAACCGTCTGGGGAACGGGGGTCGCAGAGACTCTTCAGATCTGTCAAGCTAAAATCGAATCAGCCTTCTGGGACCGTTTGGCGAAATGAACCCGCCGATGGCATGGCATGGCTTCTTTGCATCGCATCCGCATCCGCATCCCGCCGTGTTGGTTGGTGCCAGTGGCCGTTGCAGTCTTGGACTGGTCACGAGGGGTGGAGAGTCAGCAAAGATCGGACGACGTCGACAGACATGTGCTTGACATGATCCGACATCAGGGCACTTTACGCTCTAAGCACCGGAAAAGCATGAGATAACTTTGCAGGATTCTCGAAAACTGCCAAACTCCAGGAAACGCCGTCATCCCCTTTTGGTGGATGCATCTGCATGAAGGCTGAATCTAGAAATCAATTTGGCATGGGCTGGTTTGCTCCATCTCAGACCATGCTCTCTCTCCCTCCTGCATCGTCATCTTCCGTCTCCTGGACTGGGGGATGAAGAGATGCGCTCCACGGCAATACTCCGTGTAATAATAGCAAGTCAGACGCCAGGCCGGGGAGGTGTTCGTGGCCCCTGTAGACTGCTGGAAGAAGGATCAAGGACATCGACAAATCACGTCCGACGATTCGCTCTCGGGTCTTGTAACCTGCCCGCCGTCCCGGCCATCCCTTGGCCCCGAGGCGATGACTCTCTTTCCCCTCCTTCTTGACCGTCGCCCAGTCCGACGCTTTCTTATCCCATCGAAACCTCCTGTCAGATCTGCTGCAGTTCTCCCGTCACCCACGGCCCAATACGACCTGCTATCTACCTACTTTCAACGTCCAGCCAGTGCCGCTCGTCCCTAACCCCTCACTCTAGGCCACTCATCCAGCCACCAACGGCCCTGTCCTTGGATCTGCTCTCCGCAGTGGTCCGCTTATCGGTGGAAGGGAGCCAACGGGCAACGCCGCAAAGGAAGAAAACGACGCAATCCATGGATGCGTTCTGGGCCGCCGGTGGGGACTGACACGAGCGACCAACTGCACAGGCCATTCTCGGTCCTCCTCCGGCAGAGACCGGCCGGCACGGCGCCTCGCTTTTCTTGAGTGCTACCCAGACTGCCAGAGCTCAGAGCGTGCCTTGCTCTCGCCGCAGGAACTCATGTATGGAATGGAAGCATGTGCATGGGGCGCGCGCTGTGCCGATGGAATAATTGGACCATCTTTCTACGTATGCACCGTACTCGGCCCCTCAGTCTGCAACGGGAGGAGATGCGGTATCCAGTGATTTCCAGTCCACTAATAGCGACGAGCCTCTCACGAGACTCTGGGGTAAATTTTAGCGAAAGTGAACAGCCTCACACGACTGCTCGCTCTGCACCGACCACTCGTCCCGTCCTGTTCAACGCCCAAAACATGACAAACACGCCAACGCCGACGCCTCCTTGCGGAAAGGGTGTCAGTCATTGGCCAACCCCTCAGCGCCTGCTGAACCAAGGAAGAGCCTGTCTGCTACGGTTGTGTCGACGGAAGCTCAGCTTGCCAGCGCCAAAAAAGCCAGCTTTCTGCTCCACTCCCGGAAGGGGAAAGTCTGTCGTCATCCTGGGATACCGCTGACTTCGCAAAGACAACAACAGCCCATGACAACAACGACCTCGTTGCGCCGCAGCAACAAATCGCAGATGGAGACGTGTCGATACCGCTCCAAATTTGCTGAATCTATCCAGGAGGTGAAGTCGGGCCAGCCGCTGTCGCTTGCCGTTCTCGCTGCCTTCGTCTTCGGCCCGAGGAGGACAGCCTAGGTTGAGCTGGGTTGGCTGACATCTATGGTCTTACCTCACCAACGTATCCTGTGTTCATGGTAGATTGGCCAAACTCACTCAAGAAAGCAGGAAGATCCAGGGCGAGGTATCGTTTGGACGGGCAGTGTCGGCTCCGCAATTCACCTTCAGTCTTTTTCTACCTTAGTCCCACGGTTGGGAAGGACCTTCCACTACCCGAGTTGCCATATCCTCTCAACTTGAACCATCCACAATGGGCGCTACTTCCTCCGTCCTGGGTAAAACATTCCTCAAAGCGGCCGCCTCCTAGCCCCCAAAGTAGATGGTTTCCTACGGTATCTAGCTTTTAGCCTCCGGACTCTCCCTCTGGCATCGTTTTGCCGACAACATTATCTCGTTCTACCACAAAGATTTCGCCTTTATTTAAACCCCCAGACATCGCTTCACTGTCTTCTTATCTATCTATCACTACCACGACTACTATCGCGATGGTACTCCCATTCGCCAACCGCCCGCCGTTCTCGTTTGAGGTGACCAGTGCCAAAGATACTAAGTATATTGGCCACTGGCTATATGTCGACTACGTCGCTGAGGGGGCTGCGAACGTCGTTTTTAAAACCCACTTGCCACCATATGCCGGAAAGCCCGACCCACGCGACAAGACCGATGAAGATCTCCTCAATAGTAAGTTATGGAAACTGGTGCCTCCGCTCGCTTGTTATTGACTCGTTCACAGAACTTCTCTTGAGAGTGCCAAAGGCACCCAAAGATCCCAACAAGCCGTACCTGAATGCAGGTTTGCAGCTAGGCTACCTCCAGCAGTTTATCCTGCCAATTTTCGACTATCGGAGGGACCTAGTTGTGGTGCACAGACTGGGGAAAGGCAACAAAGACATCATCATGAATATGGTGAACCATCTGAAGGCTTTGGATAACATTCCTCCTCCCAGACGGCCTGCCAAGTTTCGAGGAGACACAATCGAACCGGGTGAAGAATGTTTTGTCGCATTAGTTGAAGACATGCGACCGAGACCGGGCGAGCGCGCTGTCGAATTCAAGCCCAAGTGGCTGGCTCAGTCGCCGTCAGCACCCCCGAAAGCCAATACCTGCCGGTGTTGTGCTCTCGCATCCAAGAAGTACTACGACGCCAACAACCCCCAAACCGCCAACAACCCCAATCACAAGGTGGAGGGAGATGAGAAGACCAGCAATGACAAGGGCAAGGCCAAAGCCAAGATCGATTCTCCAATCAAGGAGCAGAGGCTAAGCCCGGACAACTACCCTTGCCCTCTCTGGCTCGACCCTGAGAGAGTGACACCGCCAGGCAAAAAATCCATCCGCGCTGCGGCAATCAAGAAGATCTTCAAGGACGATGAGAATTATGCACGTCTGTACGAGCTCCTGAAGCAAAAGCCCACACTCAAGTTGTTGAAACAACATCAACTCTCCAAAGATCCACTCGGTCCTCTCAGACGAGCAAAAGACATTGCCGACATCGATTATGGCATAGCCATGACGTTGAGGGACTGTTCTCTTTTCGTGCGATATCGTATGAAGAAAGAAAAAAAGAAAGACGGCACCGTGAAGGAATTGAACGAAGTGGATGATGCGTCTTTCGAAGCAAAGCTGGCTGACCTGGACTGGAAGAACATTGACTGGAAATTTGACGAGTGGCGCGCAAAGGAGCTCGCCCTCGTCGAAGAGGAGTGGTATACTGGCCGTGGCCAGATGAGGAACTGCGCGCTCTGGAACTGAGGAGCTCGACACTCAGGAGCGCTCTCCTCTGTAAAACAGTGTATAATTAGCAAGTACAACAGTGTAATGTAATTCAGACGCAAAGGCCGATGCGGCCTGTACACATCCTTGATGAGGAGAAGAGACTGGTCATGATGCCATGATATCTCTGGGACAACCAGCAGGCCCCATAGATTAAGCTCAATTGCAAACTTCACACAAGGACCATCGCGTGTTGATCTGATTAAATAAATTAAAATTGCCCACCTCGCACCCGGCCGGATCCAGCGGCACGACAACAAAATTGACTCGCGCGAGCAAAACAACAAAAAACGAGCCATGAAGTAGTAATCATCACCAACGTCGCATTCTTAATGCCACATCACCAGCAAGCGACACGCACATCGACATGCGCTCCGCACGAGTAGACGTCAAAGCCGCGCTGGCCGCGTACCGCTCGCACGTGGCATCTCGC